GTTTTAAATTGCTTTTTTTCTATTTTTCTGTTGTAATGAAGTTCCACTCCTTGTTAGTTCATCTTCTTTCATCTCATTGCTCTTTCCATTGAGTAACAGTTCATTCATCATGACCATCATACCCGAGTTCCACAGATAGTTGGAACAAACGAATCCGGTGGATATACTGAAGTCTCATCCGGGATATGAAAATCGTGGCTAGTGAAAGGTCGGTTAATCCAAATCAAACAATTACTGACTGAATCTCTGCGGACGATTAGACTTAGTCAATGGGAGACTACAACTCCTATGTATCTTACAAAGAACTTGATTAACAATTGCAAATAAACAAGTATTTCTAAAGCCAATCACTTGCACCGTTTCATAATAGTTTCGAACTTGGCTATTGAATTATCCTTTCATGACTTCTGTCATCCTGGAATCACAAACGTCCTTATGCATCAGTACGTCGACATCCAAATGACGTACTGAACAGTGTATAGCAAAAACTGATACAAATTTATTTTAACCATGATATTCTGTCGAGTCCACGATGTGAAAGTTGATTTGATCCTCATGCTGACTTTCTGCTTCTTCGATTACTGTTTCTATTTCACCGGTTTACTTTACTACGAATGAATTACTAACAGATAACTGTGAATGGTAAGAGTTTATGAATAAATGAGAAAAACAAATGCAAATTGAAGAAGTCATTGAGATAACCTACATGGAGTGTGTATCACACAAGACTTGTTTCTCTCAACCTGTGATGGATCTTGCGGGTCTTTCTGCCTCATCAACGAAACCGGGGATCAGTTAAATGATCCTTAATCAGAGAGAATTCAAGATGTGTAGTAGCGAAATGTCAAACCTCGTCTTGCTCTAGAGTGAGTCACGTTTGTCGTCTTCGTACGTTGTAAATGGTGTGTGGATGTTTGGTGGTTGCCTTTCAGGAATTTCAGACTGGTCAAAATTATTGTTTTTAGTATTTATTTGTTTAACTTACTTTATGATAAGACCTCCTTCTAGATTTCTTTGCTTGTAGATTATATTCGGTGTTCTAATTGCTGGATTTCTATGTTTGCTTATTAAGTTCCGCCGACAAAATTTGAGATCACGAACATCAGATGAACCGTGCATGAGCTAAAATGGATTCCTATTGAGAGTATCGTCTTGATTCCATTAAGTTTGCTCATTAACATACAGGACAGGGGGGAGACTTTCAGGTCAAAATATTGATTTTCAAGAAAGTTATGGGCATTCTCGTGGCACCCAATTCGGGAGTTCATTTGCGTCAAACCGAAATAAGCCGGATTCTGGAGAATCCATATCAGAATTTTGAACGAATTTCTTGAAACGGTTCTTTCATAAATATTTCTCATTCCAAAAGTTACTAATTTCTTAAGTTTTAGTTAACAAGTAGTTTCATGAGGGCGTAACGAGAATCAATATGTATCTACTAATCAATTGAAAAAAAGATAAGAAATGATATTGCGAAACTAAATTTTGGCTTTGGCTTCGGATGTTCAAATTCAACTGGTGTTTGTCAATTCATACAACAGCTAGGAAAATGAAATAAACTTTAGATTTCACCTTTCGGATTAGCTGCTGTTTCTTTTCAAGTTTCTTGGTGAGCATTTCATAATCTTCATAAAAGGTTTTGGCTTTCTCGATGGGACTGCTGAAAGGAAGGTTCCATTAGAAGATATCAGAAGAAGCATCTAATTACCGATCGCGTTCATACGTCTTTTTTACTCTGCCATAGATCTCCATCATACGAACAGAGTTCTCGTCGTGTTCTTTCGCAGCTGCCATTTCTTCGTTCTGTGCTTCATTCACTTGGCTAATGTAGAGCTTCAAAACCTGGAAAAGATAATGTAAAAGAGGGAAGCGGATTTCTTTATGCTTTACAGGGACAAACAAATTGTACAAACTGTGACTCTTTGAGACAAAACAATAACAAACCTCTAAGCAGTGAATTCGTGCCGAACTTTTCATTCTTGACAGATTCTCTTCTGTTAAGCTCATTCGAATCTTAGCCACACGCAACGTCTCCGTTGCTCTTCCAAAACGAATAGTTGATCTGTGTGAGTCCTCGACGATTTTTTGTTTCTGAAGAAATGGTAATAAACTGAGGTACATCCCGTTCTAAACCAGTAAATCAACAAAAAAGGAAGGCAATCGGTGTACAAGTAACAGATCAGTTACCTCAAGCTCCGCTTCAAAATACCGCCAGGCCTTCTGGATGATGGATTTGTGTTTCTCGAAGAAATCATTTGCGTACTTACACAACAAGTCATCCAGTGCTCTAAAAGATACAAAATGATTTTCAAGAATGATAAAAGCAGCATAAATATGCATATAACAACATAAAGCAGATGAAATAAGGCGAACTAGTTTTACGGATAGGAAACGATGGTACAAGATGACCAGCATCGTTCCAAACGAACTTACTTGTTCACATGATTCTCTATAGAATTTCGTAAGCTTCAACTAGTTTTCACAAAACAACTACGAGTACTAGTAGAGCTCTTGGTGTTGATTAGAAAAGATATAGAAGACTTGCATATATTCTGCTTTAGCTACATCCAACTGCTCTTCTTCAGCAGAACACAAAGAGAGGTGGGGATGAATATAGGTCAGCAGCTTTCCTAATACAAAATTAAAATGTAATTAGAAGAAATGTAAAGCAAAACAACAAAGCCTTACCTGAAGTTGTAGTATGCCCGTTCTGTGTATACTCTGAGTCTATTTCAGACATTTTCTGTTCAATACGATCACACAGATTCTATGATACAAATGAAATATGGGAGAAGAATGTTGCTTTATATTCTAGATGAATCTGGAACCTAAAACAGAAACGAGGAGTTTAGAAATGATGAGTAAAGAGAGGTTGTTGCATAGGTTATAGCATACATACGCTGCGCTCCTCCTTATCAATTGCTAAGTGATTCATTGTATTAAGAAGAATCGATAAGGTTTGCTTTTCCTTTCTTTCGAATTTTATTTTGTGTTTTTCTAATGTAAAGTTTATTGATATCCTTTCGACATGTCATACAGAGAACAGATGAAGGCGGAATGAAAGTAAGTTCGTTTGAATGAACATCTGAATACAACGAATAGGCCAAGTTGAGTAGCATCAGTAACAATACGGATTCAAAATCAAAAGGAACACAAATGCAGAAAAACGCCGAGACACTTTGAACTTATCATGGGCAATCCAGAAAGTTCTAGCCAACTCCTTCCTCATAAAAGATTCTCCATTCTCCCTCGTTACCTCCAGCCCCTCTTCTAGAGTTTGTGAACACAATGTCATAACTTGTCCTTAGTTTATTCTTATCACCAGATCAGCGTCACTATGTATGTATCGATAAAGACAGAATTTCAACCGTCTTTGTAATCTCTGTTTGTTTTTCTCTCTGTTTCTAGAAGCTGCAATTGTTTCAAAAATAAATGAAAATAGGTCATATAAATGTTCATTTGACCGAAGTCGACTACCAGATATAGCATCACAATAATTAGTGTTCATACTTGGCTAACATTTTCAGATTCAAAACAATACTGAGAAAAAGAAAATTATGAAAGATGGTCTTAATGTAAACCATAATAGTGCATACACATCAAAGACTATTCAGAGCCTGGCTAAAGACGATATAAAACATATAGAAGTCTAAGTATAGAATAAAGATACTTCGTATTTCAACTATTTCGATTTCTTAATATCTACAACGAACGCCCCGTAGTTGTGGACGATTACAATATGACAAAAAATGAAAAGAAAAATAATATTATAAAATACAGAATTATGACGAAATAAGAGTGGTCGATGCGATGATAAAAGCCGTTGACAATGATTATATGAAAGAAGCATAGATTGAGATGTTCATCCGAACTAATTTGTCTCTACGTAGTGAAAACATTGTCTCTCTGCCTCTTCATAAGTCATTCAAGCAATTGAAACTATTTGAGGCAACAAACATGGGTCTTGCTGTCAAATTTTCTTTGGCAGAAAAAAACGAACATCAAGAAACAACCTGGGATGCATACCGAAAGCCATTTTAAAAATAATATTTCTCCCGTTAAACGAACCGATTACGAGATCAGCTAATACGGCAATGTTGGGATATTGTGATTGAGTAAGAAAGAGATAGATAGTCAGACGGAGAGAGAGGGAGAGAGAGAGGGGAAAGAAGTAATAATGTTCACAAACAACCAACGCTAATAATGTGTGGACGGAATATATGAAGAAGAGCACAATCTGGCTATTGACTCCAAGAAGATTATGCTCATCATATTGACAAATAAGGCTACACGGGGCAATAAAGTGAAAACACCAAATGACGTGAGAGAGAAAGAGACTTCAATTTCCAGAAATGACGGAGGAGGAAATGTGTGGCTAGCACAAGAATATTGAGAGAATCATTGCATGACCAATTGCAAAAAAATATAGGATATCTAGAGATATAATACCTACTAACACACTACTGTCTCGACAACGCTTTTCATGTAAACCGAGAGGTAGTTAACGAAAACTTTGAAGAAACAACCAAGCTCGTTCTTGACATCTGATTAGCTGTCATTATACTCCAGATTGAGGCATGATTAATAAAGTTAGAATCCCCGATCAATCTTTCAAAAGATTCGAAAGGATCATCTGATATCACAGTTCGAAATTCATCTATGTACACGAAAACAGAGATGAGTTGATGGCGCCACATTTCTTCAACAATTGAATCATGTGCAAGGAATCAATGAAAATGATATATTTGGATAATATTGTGTAGACGATGCACATTATTCTCATAATAACTCATCTCCACTGACAGGAGTTAGCTCATTGGGCGATGTCCGAACAATCGCTGGCGGTGATATGAACTGAGGAACAATAAGAGGATCCTGTCTGACATCAGGTGATGATTTACGTAAGCCAAACCAACGAGCCAGTTTATCCAATCTGCCTTCCTGAAAGATGCAAATTGAATTATTATATTGTGCTTTATGTAACCTTAAGTAAGTCAACATCCGATAGCGTATGCCTCCTAGAAGCTTCGCGGTTAACAACAGATGATTTGGTCCGTAATCGAATTTTCTGTTGACAACGAGACTCAGATATAGCCGTCGTTGTATTATTACTGGAACATGCCGATGTTGTAGACGTTGGTGTATTACTGACGGAAGAGTTATTTACAACGGCTAGAGCTGATGGACGAGAATAAGGCGATGTGGATAAGTTTCGGGGACATGGGCTAGGATCACTGATAAATCAACAGTATGAAAATTATGTCTCAAAAAACATACTTTACCTAGACGCATAATCAGATGATGTTGGAGCGTCTGCACCGCAAGCTACTGCGAGAGGGGTTGTCAAAGGTGCGGAACTCGTGGTAGAATAGTCAGAGGTACAGGATAAGGCATCAACTTGATCTTTGGCAGAAGACGAGCAAGTAACCTAAACGAGGACGATAAATTATTGCTACGGAGCAATGTTTATGTACCTTGGAACTTGGTTCTCTCATACTATCAAGAATAACAGGACCCTCCTTCGGCTTCTCCATGAAATTTTGTTTTCGTTGCATTTTTCGAATTTTTTCTCTGGTTTCCTCCGACAAAACCTGAAAAGACAATTTTTCAACTTGAAAATGAAAACTTTACGAACATCTAATGCTGGACTATTGGCTATATTCAGATGATGTGTATGATTCACTAAAGCATCAATAGCTTTAGAGTCTCCAGTAGTTGCGACAGACTCAGCTTCTGGACCAGCTATGAATATACGACGAGCGGAATACATATCCTGAAACGAGCATAATATTTTCGTCTAAGTAAATTCTAGGAATGCAACTATTCTGTGCGTTTTCAGAAACGTTTCATATAACAATAATTGCCAGATGGAAATTCTGATTCTCCGCAAAATTGCTAATGAATAATTTACCTGTTGACGTCGCCTTCTCTCTTCAGCATCGGATGCACAAGAGAGGCCGGGATCAGTTCTACTAGTGTCAGGGATAGAGCCTAACGACGATTCCATGGAAGGAGATTGGTCTACTGTTGATGCTAAAGGCGAAACAGTTTGTCGAGATAATATTTCAGCATCAATATCACGCTCCTACAAATTAAAACGTAAAACACATCAATAATCTTATATAAATAAACCTGGTAGTTTCCAACGAAAGCGCTATCAACACTTGATTGTTGTGTGGACGAGGAATAACGTGGATGTGTCGCAGCAGGAGCTGTTGATTCAATTTTGAGTTTGCCTCTTGATTTATCACGTCGTGAATTTCGCCTCAGCATATTCTTGATCTAAATGAGAATGCAATGAAGTGTTTTTTCCGGAAAACATTTTGCAACTAACCTTGCCTGTTTTCCCTTCACTCATCATAGCAGCTGCTTGATCTTCGTTGGCTTTACGGATAAGATTATGCATATCGTTAAAAGTAGCGGCAGAAACTGCTGACGGTAATCCTACTCCATATTGTGGATGGTCATTCACTGATGTAACTATAACATGAGAATGAGAAAACGAACATTCTATTGTTCTTACTTGTTTCGGATGGGTGAGGTTCAGGAACAGAATCTTCTGCTGTTGAGCTATCATCAAACATCCAATCATGCTGGAAGAAAACAATAATAAGAAACGAGAAGAAACGAGTTAGATTACATAATGAACAAGTGTTTCTATAATTTTGCATTGATCACTCATATGCGTAACCATTGTTGCCATGTTATCATCAGAAGGCCTAACGATAGATGGACCGAACATTAAAGCGAGATTTCTTGTTTCCATCTGAAAATAGCTCGCATATGCATGAATATAGAAAGAAGATAATTGATACCTTGTTCACATCGGAATGCTGAGTTATGCAAGCTAAGTGACGAATGATATACCGTAATGTGAAATAATGATGCCGAGGCAATTTTCGGAGTAAATTTCGAAGCTTATGCAAACGGTTATGACGATTAGTAATTCGATTAGCATCAATGAAGAAGGGATAAAGTTTGTCTGTGAGTAATGGCTCAGGTAGCTTTCGAAGAAACATTTTAAGTAAGGAAGACACTACATTGACATCTCGCCACCTAGGATCTGAGAAATCCATCTGAAAAGAAGAAAGTAAATTAACATAAACAACTGATTGATTGTTTTAAGTAGTAGCAATGCCTAGTTAAGCTGATCAAAAACACCTCAGCCTCCTTTGAGAGATTTTAGAGAGGATTTGAAAGAATAAAGCAGAAAAAAACAAAGCAAATGCGCACATTTTCAACGCTGACATTGTCGATTCCATGACTTAATGTATCCTTTAATGCATTGACGGCAGCCGTGTTACCAGGGATACGATATATTCCAACCGTATCCATTCCATGTGCTTCAACAACCGTTACGCACATTTGAACAACAAGAGGAACATGCTAAAATAGACAGAAGTGAAAATGAAATCGATTCAGTAAAACATACTTCTTCGGGAGCAAATGCACAATCTGCTAAACGAACACCTAAGACATTGCTCAACGGCTGAATGCTACTATTACTACTGCCGCTACCCTGTTTCCCAGCTTTTGATTTTTTCCATTTACGTCCTGATTTTGGTGTTGTTGGCTCTGAATAAGGTTGATTCAACCATACATATTATACTGTATAAAAAAAAACCTCCGTTTTCGCCGCTGCTGTTTTCTTTGCTTGTACTTGGCTGAATCATATGTTCTTGCGTACGCTTCGATGAAATAGGTGATTGAAGTTGCGAGCTTTTAGCTTTATATCTGCGAGAAGGAGGAAAACGTAGAATTTTATTATTCAATATAGAATTACCTATGCATGATCAGCTGATTCGTGGTAGATGAGACGCCGGACAAAGCATTTCGGTCGGACGAGCAGGACGAGACCAAAGAGGTTGTCTAAAAACATAGAATCAATATTTTTATATTTTAGTCAAGAAATATATATTTGTATTATTGAGAAGTGGATATCGGATAAGATGTCTGACATACGAATGAGATGTTCGGAAAATCAGAATGAAAATATAACAAGTGAGTCAGTCAATCGGATGTAAAAGAGTCTATAGCGATAACATGCAAGGTGTTCCAAACACTTCTCCAAGCTAGGACGTTCAAGTACACACTATGGCCTCCAGCAATTGAACTTAATCAATTCATAGACAGAGAGAAAAATGAAGAGAAAACAAGAACATAGGAGAAGACAACCGAGAGTAACAAAGGTTCTCAATGCGAGGACATTCTGTTCCAAATGGTAAACAGGTAAACAAATTGGTTTGCGCGGCGATACGGGAATATTGGCAAATTGAAGTTGAATAAAACATGAAAAAAAACTGAATCACAAGGAGCTCGCTATTTTGAAAATCATAGATCATGCAAGAGAATGCAACCGTTGTATGCATATGCAGGCTAGAAATATAGAAAGAGAACTGGGAAAGCAATAAATGATTGAGAAAGTAATGCTTGCGCGGGTAGTCTCAAAAAGAAAAAGTTTATATAACTGTATTAGTGACGAATGTATGATGCGAGTATTGACTAAAAAGTGTGAGAGCTATAAGAATTTCTAAAGGAAACGAGAAAAAACAGTCAAGAAACATGTTTGGATGGCGAAAGTGGAAAACGAAGAAGGAGGATAGTAAGAAAGAAAATGGTAGAGGGCATGCGGGAAAAAAGAAAACACGACAATTACGCAAGTTTACAATAAAATCATTGACAATAAAAGGCATTCTTCATATATAGTTACAAAACGGAATGGCTTTTTAAAAGTATGAAAAGATTAGTTCAAAGTTAGTAAATGTTGTCAAGTAGAACGGGAAAGATGATGGTGAGACTCATCGGGATATTGAAGGTACGAAATGCGACAATTTGAACACACTTAGAGAGGAACAAACATGCATACAAAAGATTCTGTGAGGAAACGAAACAACCGAGTCGTCAACCAACGCTTCTGACGACAATTCGCTCGAAAAGTAACCAGAATATGGCCACCAGACCGGTCAATGAAATGAATAGAGGAAGAAATAGTATGAGAGTAACAGAGGAAACGAGAGGAAAGGGGAATTGGCGGAAGGACATGAAATGACAGAGCAAGCTAAAGAAATAGAAAATGATGAAGAAGGAGCTGTAAGACTTCCGATTGAGTGAACGAATCGAAAGCTTTTACTTAGTTTCTTTAAGAAAATAACAGATAATTGAAAAAAATAAAATTCAGTAAGGATATGAAAGTATTGAACAGAATTGTAACAGAAAAATATCGAATTGTTATTCAAGCTCTAACTGTAATAACAGCAGAGGTGAGAAACGAGCTAAATGTAGATTAAAACTTCGCGGGAGAGTGGCATATATCGATAGAATAACAAGAAGATGAACGAACAAGGAAAGTGACATCTAAGCAAAAAAAGAAGAAGAAGAAGAGAAGAAGAAGACAACGACAACGAAAATGATCAAGTGAAAATGAAGACGTAGTTGGAAAGAGGAAGACAGAGCAAGATTACTGGATAGAGCGACATGCGATAACAGAGAGTGAGTTGTGTGTGCATGGATGAGAGAGAAAGAGAGAAGGCAGGCTAAATCGAATAGCAGACTTGGCTAGAGCGACTACTAAATTTACCCAGCTGGCGCTGTTGCCAGGGGCCACACACATAGTCATGCATGCACCATAAAATAGTACCACTTAACACCTAATATTGTGTTGTGGTTGTATGGGAAAGAAAAGAGCTAAGTGTCGCAACATAAACGAAAAATGACATTTACCATCAAACAAGAATCGTTTGAGCCTAAAGTAAGAAAAATATCTTGATGTTTGTAAGCAATGGCATGCTGTCTATTATTCTTACAGTCATGTAGAACATTTCGTGAGAACAGAGAAACAGAAAAACTGGAAGATGGAGGAAACTGGAGGAATGGGAAACATTGACCATCATAAGATAATTTAAATGATTAAAGTATGGAAATAATGAGAAAACCGTTCAAGTTCAGCCAGTCGACTAGGCCATCCAACTCGACGACTAACAGCACACAATCATTACAGCGCCTGCAGCATGGGCAATAGCAGCATGCCAATCAATAATATGAAACTGACAAAACAAATGTGGCACAAGAAGAGACAAATATATAGAGCTATATGAGAGGGTTATAGTTACGAGAAGATACGTGAAGAGTATTAATTATTAGCATCTTCATTGAAACATGTGATGAATGTGCTCTCACAGGTTGAGAACAACCAAAATGTCATCCAAGGACTTTTAAGAAAAAAAAAGAAGAAGATGATAATAGTGTTGAGTACAAATAAAGAATAGCCACATAGACAGAGACACTCACATACACACACACACACAAATATATATATGAAAACTACTAAATAAATTTGTGGAAGAAAAAACAGCACATAGATATGAGGTTGCGGAAGGAGAGAAAAAAACAACAGCTTGATGACAAGAGGACCGACAGTGGTTCGGACAGATACAGAAAATAGAGAGGTAAAACAACGCGGATATATATTTTTTTCTTTCTATATATTTAACTATATAGTAATATATATTCATAAATATATATATATATATATATATATATATATGGTAAGAATAATAAAAGGAACACAACATGCTAAGTAGTGCCAGATGATGATGACCGGAAAAGGTCATTGAGAGAAAAGATATTCATAATAGGTGAATAGAATGAATGAAGCGAAGAGTAGAAAGAAGGTTTAATTAATTTTTTTTTGTCTCTGATTTACTTTCTCTCTTTCTCTCTTCTTCCGCAAAGAGAAAAACACATAACTTTTAGTAAAAATCAATTAAAACTTGCAAAGAGAGCAATTACAAGGTGACGATGAGTTTGACCCCCAGAGCATTGTAATTGCGGTAGTCGAGGTCAAACTATCTGGTACTTAGTCATACAGATTATTCTTCATACACAGTTCTGATCCAAGCTTAACTTCTGTTTGAGACCATGCAAAACAACATTTCTAGAGAGAAAGAAAAACTCAACTTCATGTTGTTCAATCGCTGTGATCAGTGAAACAAACTGCAGAGAAGCATTTAATAAATATTCACAGAGAGAAATTTTAAATGATTATGTTCTTGAAAAAAGGAAGTAGAGCCATATAAGAACATTCGCAAATAGATATTGCATGAAGGAACTGACGAAACAACAATTCTAATTCCATCTAGGCATATTGTCAAACAGTCAATATACTTTCGACATGTACGTGTTGAAGCTTGACTCATGAAATGATCAACCAACATGAGAAAAAATAGTTGATGTCAGCTACAACAAAAACTAAACGTCGTTCGAATTTCAAACTGAGAACGAGAGAGAGAGACGTAGAGAGCTTAGTGCCAAGCTGCAATGACATAGGTCCGAAAATGATAAAACAAATTGGAATGTACGCCAATCCCGATTCGGAACAGAGAACGGAGTTCAGCGATCTGCAGAGCAGACACACACACACACACATTGAGAAAACCTTAGCTACAGGATGAACTAAAAAAGTTGAGAAATGCAAGTTTCCTACAAGTGAAAATATGTTAAATTCATATCCTTTTACATGTCCTAAGGGTTCATATCAAAAGGGAACGAAGACAAAAGACTGCCTCAGACGGGATAGAATTGAACAATTTGATTTGGCACAGCGAAGTGGGCAAAAGGATTGTCGTCGTTTCAAGACAAGTGAATGTCATTTTAACGCTTTCTTCCTTTCCGTCGGCCACTTAATTGCAAAAGGAAGAAGATGGAGGAAAAGTTAAGTGACAGAGATAAGAAAAGAGAATTCCAAAGCAAAAGGAAGTATAGCCTTCAGATGACTACAAAAGAGACAATTGTGTTTGGTTAAATATAACATCTAGAAATCAGGTGTTAGCATGTCTCATCTTGCTCCATTATGATACAAGCTGGCTGAAGCCTGCTATCACGTGAGACAAAAACACGTTGAGTTTTAGAGAAAGCGAATATATGTATCCGTGTGTGTTCATCCAGAATGATAAAGCTGAAAAGATGAATGAAAACAAATTCTCTCATCTTTTCTCATCAATTAAATTTTCTAACAAAACAGATACATTATTAATTGGTCATGACATATTACGTGGAGGATACGTGAACGACAAAGCTTTAGAGGCCAAACTAGAAAACTATTTACCAAAACTATCCAATCGCCAATGTATTATCAAATGAACGTAGAAGTTGGGAACCTATGATAAGAGGATTCCAACAACTACATATGTACACAGATACACATATACATCTATGTATGCGTATACATACATACATACAAATATATATATATATATATATATATATATATTTTGGTGAGAAAGTGAATAAAAAATTTTCGGAAATTCCCAAATATCATTTGGAAACAATTGAATAAGCATGTTGGATTTCCTATCTTTAAATGATTATATTGATAACTAACGCTTGGCAAGCTTCATGCTGTAGCTTTACAGATTGAAGAACATGTAAGCCGCTTGGAATAAATGGAGACGACATATTCTCAGTTCGTTGCAGAACGATTTTCGCTCCTTACTCCAGTTCAATTCTGTGCGATGATGCTGATGATAATAGAATCGCAACTGATTGAAATCGTTAGCCTCCGAAAGAGGGGAAAAACTCGAGATATACACTGAAGTCAATAACCGCAAAGTTGAAGAGCAAATGAATGGAAAAAAATCATGAAAAAGCAAAAGCAAGAAGGTATCAGGGTGGAATATAAAAGAAAAGAAAGATTAGTGAAGGAGAGTATCCAGTTTTCGGAACAGAAGAGAAGCTCGAACGTAAGAGTATACTGAGCTTTACATAGCAAAGTAAGCGCATACGATATGCGGCCAATATGAACTGCTATAGGAAGAAAATATTATGTAAATTCATAAGCGTCAATAGAAATAAATTGAAAATAAGCAATTTCATACATTTGAGCACTGCAGAAAGCCGCAAGCTCCATAGCCTACGGCAAACTCGAAAATCTGCGCTCTCATCATATGATGAAGGTATGACGTGCAAGACAGCATAAAATAAAAGAAGAGTGAAGAATAATCAAAGCTAAAAAAATATGATAGAAGTCAGTCTTGAGATAATTCGATTTAATCGAGACCATCATACAGTTGGTACTCTCTATAAACGCAAGTTTCCTGATTCTCTTCTACTTATCTCTCTCCCTTAGACTCCAAAACTACATGCTCTATTTAATCATTATCCGGCAATAATAGCGAAATGAGCAACGAACGAAACGGAGAAAAGGGAACGAAGACGAAAGCACTGAATAGGGAGAGGATCGAGCTCAACCAAGCGCTCCGAAATCAATAGTGGACTCAGGACATAAACAAGACTGAAGAGAGCAGGAATACACGAAAATGTATATAAATGAAAGATAAGTAAAAACAAAATGAACGAAACGTGAAAATTTGCTCAGAATCCGTATCATCTAGACTAAATCAATTTTGTAAAAAGTATTAAGCCATTCGAAGCTATGATTCAGAGACAACACGTTGGAGATATCCCAGTGACGTATGAAGGCAATTATGACAACTTCCAGATGTAATAATAATGCACATCGAAATAAACTCATGATAGAATGAAGGAATGAAGCTAGATTTTCGCTGAGAAAACGATTACAGTGTCTTCTAATGCACCGAAAAACCTTTCAAATAGAATTAACTAAACTTGAAACGATGAAACTTGAAAACAGTTCAATCCAACAAGCACACGACCGAGTTGAATTGACAATGATAGAAGATGCGAAATAGCATAGACACGCAAAGTTAGACAATTGGAAAAGTGAAATGAGAATGGATAGAAGCAGGAAGGAGCAGGACAGAGTGGAAGAAGACAAAAAGAAATGGCAATTACGGATCACCACAAGATGGGGGTAACGCAATTAGATGTAGCGTTAAACGAGAAGAAAATAGAGGAGGACAGGGAATGTTGAGACGAAAGAAAAAATCACGAAAAAAACAATAAGAGCAAGTTGCAAATATATGAAGAAAGTGCATCAGAGGAAGCAGAGGGTAACTTTTGAGAAATCGCTTCAAGAAGATTTTGCAAAACGTTAAGCTTCACCAAAAGCGTAGGTGAAAAATTCAAGAATAAGAAGCGAACTTGTAAATAGAACAATGAGCAGAAAAAAAACGATTTTGTGAAACGAAATAGAAGGAAAAAAACGAAAAATACCGATAGTGAGTTTGGCAGCTGCGTTACTGAGGCGGGCACGACGGATCCATCAGATGACGATTGCAACACCGCAATCCATGAAAGCATTTCAACTTCACTGAAACGTTGACTGATTAATTATATATTAGAATATGACATCATTCGATGATGACCAAAAAAACAGTGACTTCTAATTAATGAGTGTCTAAGTGCATGGAAAAATAGTTGCAATGAAATTACCTGCCAAGCTCGAACAGATGTTCGGATCTCGTTTGCGTCAACATCCGAATAACATGACGATTTTTATTCTCAGTCAGCCAGTCATAGGCGATATCGGCAACAGAAAATCGTACATCAACTCTTTCACATGGTGAAAGGGAATATATCTGAACGAACAATTCGAAATATGTTAACCATGCCAGTATTATAAATTGTGGCTCACCTTCTCGTTTGTGCCGTCGGCTAAAGTGCATCGGGGTTGTTGTGGACATAAGTATAGAAAATGATCATGTAAAATTCCCCAATAGTCAGTCCATTGATTTCGTCGACCATTTTTGCCCAAAGCGAGCTGCTATAATTAATATTTTTTAAGAAGAAACTATATGGTTATCATACTTGATGACGAATAGGGCCCTGTTTGGAAATATTCAAAGCATACAGTTGAATATCAGGTAATGGATTGCGACCTTCAGGTAATGATGTTCTTGATCGCTTCAGGCGTAAACCGCGACCTTCTGCTTTCTATAGTGTGCTGCTTCAGACAAAACATTTAGACAAAGCCAATACCTGACTGAATAGTGAAATAAACTTTTGAATCCTATGGGTTGCGGGCGGATGTGGAGCTTGAGCGGATCGAGCAGAGTTTTCAATCGATGATATAGAACCCATAGACGACAGCTCACGACTGCAATATAACCATTGAAAATAATAAAGTGACAATATTTTATACCTAGTTCCATCATGGCTGAAAGTAGTTGATTGATCAGTTTCAGGTAAGCTAGCCGATGTTGCCAGTACATATGATTTCGGACGCGCTCGACGCATCACACTTTCTTCTGAAAATATCAAGTCATAAGAATAGTTGGAAAACATAAATCCAACAAGAAGAAACCAAAAATATACTTTTGGGAACAAGTTTTTGTGTGATAAACGTGCGCACGTTATGATAACGGATTGTAAAAAAAGGGTGACTCCGAGTATAAGCTCAGTTTCGCAACAGGTTAGGACATGGAATAACGTCCTTTGCACTTTGATGAAATCAAAAATAGCAATATGCCGAGCATGAAGCATAATGAGGGTCAGCTTGTGCCCTGCATGAGCTTAAGCTGAATATAATCGATGGATAGATGGAACAGAAGGTGATGATGGCTGGCAAATTGGGTTCGCAAAAGGTAGAGATAGAAAGAAGAATGAGGGAATACGCAAACTAAGCAACCATATAGAGTCATAGACAAAACAATCTTGAGAGAGAAGAAGAAAATGAGGAGAGACAAAGAGAGAGAGGAACGGGCAGAATGGGCAACGGACCTGACCGGAAAAAGAGACGCGCACCTGCCATCAAGGCAAATTGACAAATACGGTGAGGTCACAACCACCTTACTGGAAGCACAATTCACAGCCGGAAAGGAACAGATGGAAGAGAAGTCAAGAGCAGAAAATATTAGTGTCATCATGACAATCCCATGATAATTACAAACATTAGAATACATTGGAACAATAAGAGAAGACAATGATGGAAAGAGAGATGAATATAAACGCTTAAGATTACTTGGCTATAGAGAAGACCATGCGCAATATAGAAAAACGTAAGACGTTCTATGAAATAATGAAAAATAAAGAAAGAAGACGAACGTCTATTGCTATAAACTGACAGTTATAGAAGTGTCTATCGTCGTCATTCAAGATGAGATTGTTGTAAATTACATAGAAGGACATTCGGAGAAAAACTACTGCGCAGAAAGAATCAAACACGTACCATTATTGGTTTGCTCAACAGGTGATGTAACTTCGTTGTCTTTAGAGCATTTCGTGATAACTTCGTCTCCTGGAAGAAAAAAAAACATTAAAAATTCAAAGCTTTCATGAATGTTGAGTTAATGAAGCAACTGAAGAGAGGTTTCTATGGCAAGTTTCAACAGATTGTTCTTCGTGATAAACCTTTAAATAACGTGAAAACTGAGAAACAGTTCAATAAAAGCTATGTTAAAGCATGAATAGATGAATAACAAAGCGTAATTACTAAGGACAGGATAAAATGATTTCATGAACTGAAATACAGAATGATATATGACAACAGCTGCGATAACCAAGTGTTGTGACTTTTTCCGCCACCTACAAACATTTATCCCAAAAAATTTTGTTTGAGAGAGAGACACAGAGAGAGAGAAGCGGATATTTTACGAGTTTAGTGTCTTCCTGTCTTTCTCTCTCTATCTCATAATATTCAGTAGTTCACAGACGAATTGCTCAGTATATTGATACAAGCTGAGAATTGTAATAAGCAGTTAGCTATAAATAGGCTTTATCTATTCCTTGTATCTATAAGCCAACAGTCAAATATTCTACTAAACAGATGCGTCGGTTAGTCTCAAAAGAAATATTAATAATGTGAAGCTATATTAAGAAGATTCGCACAGAGCTAAGGGAAATTAAGCGCTTAACTGAGGCTTTTACGAATTGATTTTCGCCAAGGTAGCTTAAACAGGAAATATACCTCACCTGGAAACTTGAGAATTAAGCTAGCGAAACTGCGAAAACGTTGCATTTTTCCGAATTATTGAAAGCATACAGAACACTAATTCAGTTCAAATGCTATGTTGTATAATAAACAGCAATTAAGGAATGATCTTAGCTGGATAAGAATGATTTTGAGCTATTTTTTCTGACAATTTTTATAATCAAAAAACTGCCTTATAGCTAGCTCAGTCGCTCGGTCGAAAAGTGGTCGTTGGTTTTAAAAGGCTGATGATGGCCGTTTTGTTAAGTGAAAATCTAGGTGGGTGGAAAGTGAAATATAATACAGCAATTCTACATTCGAACATAGGCAACAGGACGATTCATGTAGATTTTGCGACTCTAAGACTGGCAATCGGATCGCGCGTTGTATAATTTTCATAACAAGTTAGAGAAACGGCTCGAGTAATCACAAATGAATGAACCAAATATGAGATGTCCGCTATAGAGTACATAGGAAATCTAAGGCAGAGATATAGAAAAAAAAGTTCCAAAATTAATCATCTGTGTGCTCAAAAACTAGTTACGGAATAGCATAATTGATACCCATAGTCCAATTTGCAATTGACAGACAAGGACATCTGGGTACATATTGTTGAATAAGGATTTTAGTCGAGTCATTCATAAGAAGAATAATATAGTCAAGATGAATTGATGAAAGCTAGCCCAAACTGCATTCTAATTGACTATTGAAAGAAGACGAAGGGTGATATCTCGCCTATTTTCCTTATTCGTAACGTTACGGTAAGATTATTTATGTTATCTGTCGGAAAATCGAAGTAAGCAAAATTGAAAGACATGTGAGAGGTGAGAAAGCCACAAACTCGGTAGACTAGATGAATGAGCAAAATATAATGATAAAGCAGAAGATCCTACATGAGCAGCTGACAGCAGTCGGATTGCGCATAAAACATGAAAATGAAAGTTTCACAAAATTTATGCATAAAAAATAAGAAAATGGGTGTTCCTTCTCTAATTCTGCTAGCTTATGAATGGTCAATAGTTGGCAGCGACCATACAAGTCACTAGGGATTATCATTAACTACTTTTAAACAGAGAGAGAGAACGCATGAATATTTAAAAAGAAGAAAATTACAAAAAAAGCCACGAAATGTATAAAGCAGATGTGATGCCGAGCCAGGAAAAGAAACGAGTTCTTAAATTCATGGCACACCAGCAGAGCTTGCTAAAACTGAAAAGGACTTAGTTCCCTTGGGTAAAATCAATCAGGCAGATTTCGGTCATTACGGAAAACTATGTCCACAAAACGGATGACATATGTGGGTGACATAACATGAGTACGCGCTTAGATAAGATAAGCAAATTTTGAATATCCTTTTATACATTAAAATCTGATTAAAAGGGTTTCAATAGAAGCGAATAGGACCAATGAGTAAAAGAAAATGGAATAATTGATTTTAGAAGAAGAAAAAAAGAAGATATTAAAAGAATGTATTATGACAAAATACACATATTTGGGAAACCCAAGAAGAAGCTGTCAAAGGAAACGTAAAATGGCAAAACGAAAGGCTTAGCAAAGCAATACTGCACAGATATCTTCGTTGAGGAACCGAGAGAAAAAGATGAAAGAAAAGTAACAGCGAACAAATTGAAGAAAACGATGAGCAGAGTAAAGATACAAAGAAACAGAGCAGCAGGAATAAGAAGATAGCCAACTACTAGCTTGTACTTTCTTTTTGAAATTTGAGATTCTAAGCTCAGGCTCATACACCTGTCAGTAGATAAGATAAATATTAATTCATATCAAAGAGTAGAGCGATATGCCGTGAGGAAGTAGAAACCTATTCCAACACTGAACAGAAAAACTTGCAACAAAGAGCTAAACAGAGTTTCGCGAAAGTGAGAATTCTTTTTCGATGTCAAACTGATGGTTCGGCGTGTGTCAGGATGAAATATTATTTCATCAACACGAAACCGCTAATGGATCAGAAACCTTCACCCACCGAAAATCTCAATGGAGGACATTGCTAATGTCTCAAACTAACTCAAACAAAATTTGAACAGTATGACTTATTGTTAGTATTATTTAAGCAGTAATAAGCTTCAAGAAAAAACGCACCATAGATAGTAGTCCTTCGATTTTGGTTTTGCTTCGGGTTTTGAAGGAACGAAGAAACTGAACTTTGCCAATTGAAGGTTCGTCTCCGGTTAGATTCTGTCCTGTTTGTCATTTCGTTAGTTGAAGAAGCTGGAATAGAGGTACTTTAGCTGAGAAAAACATTAGAGAAGTATTTGATATAAGTTATTGAGAAGCGAACTACGATTGCCGTTTGCTGAATTGTTGCATGAGAGGAGGACAATTGAGAGAATTACTAACGAAACTCATCTAGGAAGCTATCAAAATAAAATTGGAATATCTTACCATCTGATAAGGGCTTCCGAGTCATGGCTGCCATGAAGGAGGCTTGTCTGGGAGTATTTCTACGCGTAATGCCAACATGATTCTCCTCATTCGAAGGAGTTTCATTTGATCCACATGATCCATTAGCTTCCTATAACAACAACATTATATTCTGCACAACGAAACTATAAAAGAAGCTTACACTTATATCATTATGATTATTATTATTATTAAAATTCAAAGATATACGACTTATAACACGCGAATCACGTTTCTTATCACGAGGGCTGCCATATAAGGAGTGCTCACGTCTCTGAATGTACTAAATCAACAAAGAAACACTGCAAATCTTACAGAAGTTGCAGGAGGATCCCAGCAAGCAGAGGACATCCGACTTGCATTATTAGTTGTAGTTCTTTTGTTTCGCAAAATTACACTGAAAATCAAAGTATTACGGAAGTAATAATCACTTGCGAGATTTGCTGCAACATCTTCCAGTAGACCGACCGCTTGCACGTTGTTATGACCATCAAAATGACGCTGATTGTTTTCGAATTTGAATATTGCGCGCGGGGAACTACGTCACGGTGTTCAAACGGTATGCTAATTTCGGAACGTGTAACTCGTATACTTGAACGTTCATGAGGCTGATCATGTTCGGGCAAACAACAACACGTCAAACATGATGGAAAAGAAAAAAAGAATGTCGAAACAAGACTTACTTATATGCTGGAGGAGCACTTTGTTTGTTGGACGACGGATAGATATCATGATATTTAGGAAGTGAAGCAGAGTTTGTTGCAAGAATAGTAGTTGGCGAATTAGGAACAATGGCACGGCCAGGTCTCATTTCCTCCAATAAAGCATATATTCGATGATCCTTCAGAAAAAGAATGCTTTGATTTCGTTTTTCAAAAAGAATTCTAACCTGCGCCAGCTGATGTTCGCTGCGAGACGATCGCAGCTGTGGCCAACTATCCATGTTTCTGCAATAAATTCGACTATATAAAGGAATGAACAGAAAAAAGTTTTGTGAAATGAATCACTAGGAAGATAGAGAAATAGATAAATAAAACGACAAAAAGCGAACAGATCGGATAGGACGATTGACTTTGTCTCCTATTGTGGACATAGACGTCACAACGCATGTACATGAGAAGTAGAAGTAATTTAAACCTTTCACTTGGTCATTTCACAATGAATGATGGCGGATTAGGCTCACAGTTGTCTTTATTTGCCTCTTGTACGCTCAGACAGAACGACCTCTGAAGTATCGACCGCACAAGATGTCTTCAGTTGGTCTGTTCAGCGTTTGAAACCTGCCCCTATTAGAGCCTCGTTTCCGAGTATAATAGTCAGTATTGAAGGACACTAGTATGAAAGGCATTCGTAAGGTGATTATAACTTTTCAAAGTCAATTTATGTACAAAAAAGAAAGAAATTAATCTGTAAGACAGGGAGGCAGGGTTTAAAATGATAAAGGAGTGTACGGACATACAGATATTCAAAACATATCAACTTCAAAGAGGCCGAAAGTAACGTTTTCACACTAGGCTGTCTGAACTTCATACAAATATTGTTGTTTCAGCCTATTTGGCTAAGACATTGAGATGTAGGTAGATGAGATAGATAGAGAGAGAGAGGGAGGAAGAGTGAAAAACAGAACGGTAAAGGTAGAATATGTACAGATTAGCAACCGAACCTCATTTCACTCGAGACAAAAACTGAGCAGATAAGAAATGGAGGAGTGGGATAGAGGAAGGTGAAGGAAAAGAGAAACAAAAATCGAAAACTAATCTAAACAGAAAACTGACTCGAGTTCTCGTGAAAGCTTTGTCATGTAAATTCTGAGAAAGTACAAGGATCTTTTTTAGCTTAAACATAACATACATACATAGATACACAAAAGAGAAAAAAAAAGTAATTAAAGAAAAACAGGAAATTTTGAATCAACATAACGGGGGGAAGATGATGATCATCATCAAGCCATGCAAGGCTAAACCTCTGTCATGTGTGGGAACAAGATAAAATGTTATCTTTCATAGAGAAGATATAAAACTAGAAGAAATTATTAAAAAGGGATGAATTTGGATGTGAAATGTAGAAACAACCGCTCAGCGCATCTTCTTTACATGAAAATAGAGATTACGTAAGAGACATGAAAGTTCACGTAAGTCATTACGTATTTGAATACGTAATTCATAAACACTCATTCAGAGGGAGTGTTGGATTAAATGAATAAACGCTTAGCAGCATGATTGTGGGCTTGATCGACGACGACAACAAAAAAAAACAAGAACGGAACAGGAATTCGCATCAGATATTATGAAGCTGGAGATCATGTGCTTGTGAGCCAACAAACTGAATGTCCAAATGAATTGGGCACAAGCTACGACGTATCCATGCTGGAATCGGGGAGAATATCATTTCTTTTAAAACAAACAATAGCACACAGGAAGATCACAAATCGTCGCTGATATGTTTCATCTGGTTTTCAACATCTTCTTTTTCATTTTTAACAACAACTATCAGACATTCGGGCAAGCTTTGTCGCCATTTTTCAACAATTTCCTTTTCTAGACACCACACCTACTACATACACACATACACGGATAGCTATTGGAAAGAACGGATCGAAAGAAAACATTCACATAACTTCACTTATTCACGTCTTCTTTTGTATGAAAAAGAAAGAAAAAGATGTTTTTATCAGAAAAAAAGGGTGTTGCGATCGCTGGACACCCAATTACATGATGAAGTAATGTGATTATAGCACAAGAAACTTGATGATTAGAGTAACAACAGCAGATGACAATTTGTTCAGAAAACTTCGGAAGTTCAATCGGAAAAAAAGGACCAAGGAAAAAGTATTCAAGAGATAGAGAGAAGGAGAGAGATCGAAAGAAAAAGAAGAAGAAGGAAATGTGAAAAAAATGGTGGATGGGAGGGGGGGTGGTGGTTGTAGAGTGAGATGTATCAAAAGGAATAACACAGCACAGTATAAAGGAAATATCGAAGAAGAGTAAACGACGACTAAAACATTCTAATGGATTCTTTCTATCAATTTTATGTGTTCTTTCATCGAAAGTTATCCACAACGAAAAGAAACTGTATGGAGGAGATATCGAAGGAATTGCGTAGGATGAAGAAGTTTGAAGTAAAAGAAAAGCAAATGGGATGAGCATCAAGTGTATCGAGCAGTGTTTCCATCGGCTTTTCTAGTCCTTCAACTTTCATCCAATCAAACATAAAATAAATGTTTGTGAGAAAAGTTCAAAACAAAATAGAAAAATGCGGAAGAGATGTGATGAGTGTGTGTGTGTGAGTTCCAAGGAGAGGATTGGTGGGGGATAAAGAAGATAAGAAAATTAATGGAAAAACGAAGCTTTCTGAAGAAAAAGTTCAAGAAGCAACTGTTCATTTCAAACTTCCAACGTCACTTTTTGTGACAAAAATTTGAAATGAACACGTGTTGCGCAAGGAAAGGAAAAGACCTGACTGGACACGGGGATGATGCCCTCGTTTTGTCGTTTCAATGCTGAGTGGCAGGAAAAAAGAAAAAAAAGGGATCACGTAACAGGAGCAAGATTAGGACGTTTAAAACAAGCATATAATAGTTTATGAAAGAGAATTCAACGCTGAAGCACTATGCACAAGAATTTCCATCGCAGACCTTGGCACACAATGAGCATTTCCATTAAACTGCTCAGTTCATAGAAAGCGAAACGAGCTAAGAGTATGCGAAGAGAGAGGAAAAGAAAAAAGTTCATAAACTGTGAGAAATCGGGGCTAAGATTCTATTTATATTTCCCTTATAGAGATAACTATACATATAAACAATGTGATGCTCGAAAGAGCACAGAAGCACTGAGCTCAAAATGACAAACACGGGAGGAGGCAAATAAGGAGAGAAGAACATAGAACAAACAGGTGTCCTTCCAAAATGGCTGATGAAGGAAGACATTATCAATAATTTCTGCAATCTTTCCTTCTCTCCCCCATATACTTATTCTTGTCATTGTCTCTCACTAAGATAAAATAAAAAATTCACTCATTCCCATCAGCTTTCCTCATATCAATTCCAAGATGATTGTCTGCATATAAAACATTGCAAAGAGAACAAAGAGATAAAATCACATAAAATAATCATGAAAAGGTAGTTTTGAAATAGATGATGAAGCTTCAGAATTATAAGCTAATCGAATAATGCACCGGAAATAGAGAACGTTCATGACAGAACGAACCAAAAATGGTAAAAAGAAGAGAGAGAGAGAAAAAAAAAGATGACAAGTTAGAGATGAAACTACAGAGAAGAGAGTTAAGACAACTAATGGATGAGACATACAAACCGTAAAAGAGGTCACAAAACAATGCAGGAAAGAAGAGAAGAGCTGAAGAGGGGAATGTGCGTATTGATTGATTCATCATTCTCCTCACATGGGACAAGAAATGATCCTCGTCCGTCTGTTCAATGAAATCAACCATCACTTCGTGCCACATACGGATAGTTTCGTCCTCCTCTTACATGCTAATGACTGAGAATTCGCCCTTCTGTCACCAGGAATTCAATCATCTGCCTCTTTTTCTCAACCTCTCATTCACATTGGATGTTTGTCTGGCTCATGAAGAGCCAGCCAGTAAGATAGATTATGCCTTGAACATACTTGTGTAGGCAGGCGGCAAGCCACGCAGTAAGTGTTGATCACGTGAATTCATGTATTGATAAGGGAACTGATAAGGTTGTTCGTTTTTTTTTTGGAACTTCAATGAAAAGGAAATGTATGAGCTAATCGTCAATGAATCATGGGACACGTTTGATCAGCGATTGATTTATTTTTTTTTTCGTTCATTTTTGTTTTAAAAAATACTAAAAGAAAAACAATCATAACAAAGAAAACAAACATAACAACATAATCTGTTTGAGAAAACAGTTCATTTTGCTTTCCCTTTATTGTACTCAACAATGTTCTTGATTGCTAAGGCTCTCATCTCATCAGTACACGCGGAATCAACCTGAAACTCTCGATTAGTAGACAGTAGCCATTGATTCAAAATTACTAGAAAGAGGGGTCGAAGAGCTGATCTTAAGGAGTGGAAAAGATCGGGGAAGATTAACTCTTGTTGAGCTAACATCTGCAAACAACCAAATTAGCTGAAGAAGCAATGATGTGTGATGTTTACCTGCTTCATTCTGTGCCGTTCAGTTGCCTGATTGAAACATGCTGGACAGTTCTCAGCCACTATGGGAAGCTTATTGTTTTCTGAGAATTGTCGAAGATCCTTCTCACGAACAAGTACCAAGGGACGTATGACACGAAGTTGTGCATCTCTATAACATGACGAACGGTATTGTTCGAAATCATCCGAACACACTTACCTGGTAGTGTATTGCACCTTCATCGTGCTTAGATTACCATTTTGGAAAGCTGCTATGAAGAAACTGAAAAAACAAAATTTACAAAAGGATTACAAAACAACAAACATATTTATGAAATTATTAGTTATAAGTTATGATAAACACTCCCCGTTTTGCATAATCCAGACTGTGCTATGACTATATAAGGTTCCTGAGGTAAGAGTTTCTCATCAACTCATTCATCTCAGCTTCTCCTAGTTTTACTAATATAAACATTCTTCACTTCAGACAATGAACTTCTTTGTCACTTGCCTTATTGCTCTTGTAGCCGCAGCTTCAGCTGAAACTCCAGTGGAGCTCAATCTCGGAAGACTCTTGGACACCGAAAAAAGTTTTACTATGGATGATCTTGACTTCTACATTGATATCCTTTCAAGCTTCCCAGGTTTGTAATTAAACATTGTTAGAAACCATGAAAATGAGATTTCAGACTACACCCCAGTTCCAGCCCAAACTCTTCTTTATAACGTGACAACACTAATACTCATAGAATCTTTTTAATCTCTTCTTTTAGCTTGATGCTGACACTAAGCAGAAAATGGTCGAGACTGTCAATGATATCGAACAAGGCAAAATCGAGGTTCCCAACAATGTCACAGCCATTATGGAATACATTCGTGAACGGTTTGCGCCATCTAACTTATGAGCCTAACAAAGGAGTCTCAGATCACCTTCTTATGCCACCAAGGTTGACACTGCTATGACTGAGCTGTTCAATATGGTCGGATCAATGAAGGAACAATCTCAAGAGAGATTCCTCAACGTAAATATAAACACTAACACATCCCATACTATCTTTCTCTTCTTTACAGTGGTGGGGAAAACTTTTCGAGGCTGTCAAGGGAGACAACAAAGGACGTGCTGGCCGTATCGCTGAGTTCATCATTCTCTTCCAAGATGCTTTCGAGCACTTGTCAGCTGAGGATATAACTGAACTTCAAGATATTTCCCCAGAAACCTTCAGACTTCTTGATTGTGAGACAGAAACTTGCCATTGATAACACTTTCTGCCATTTCAGCTAACTTCGCTAGACGCTTAGTCACCGCATGCAAAATGTACTTGCAAAGTGGTTATGAAGCCAACGTCTACTTGGTAAGCTCTTCTCACATTCTCACTACTCGATAATCTGTTTGCAGATCAAAGCTCCTGTAGGAAACTGAGGATCAACTCATTCCGCCGCCGAGCCGTGTTTTAACTGATATTATTAATAATAATAATAATATTATCATAAAACCCATAATAAATTATTCTATTTATCCACTCTCATCGAACTAACCTTTCCGCTAAATCATCCAAATGTTGACCCATCGCCAATACATTCCAGCCATGGTGTAAGGCAGCTGCAGCAAGTCGACCTCTCTTCATACGACTACAAAAAGCGCAAATTGAACGGGGGTTAAGCTTTTTAGCAGCTCCAATGATATCTGCAAAAAAATTGTTTTGAAACAAAATCATTTGATGATCTGAACCTTGCTCCTCATAGAAATAGTCTATGTTCAAAGACCGGCAATACTCAATGAGTGGACGAGGATTATAAGCGGACGATCCTGGATCAACAGTGATTGCGCCGAGTTCGAACTGTGTGCTGAAAATCCAGAATGCTTGCTATGATGCAGATGATGTTCAACCTCTTGTTTTTTCTGCAACGCATCTGATAGAAGTGCAAAATGTGCAGAAGAGCCAAAGAATCCTTTCCTCCTGACAAACAAACTAAGACCTTGTCTCCTTCCTGAAGTATGACGTAGAGCGTTGTTTGACTATCCCATATTTACTCGTATCATATTTAACCCGTGTATGATGTCCGTAACCTTCTTGTACATTTCTAGAGGAGGATTATGCCAAGGCAACTTCGATTCTTCTTCTTTCGTCAAAGGTCGTTTAGTCACCACTACTCGTTGATTCCACTGTTCAGTTTCCTAATCCGCACGCATAGAATATAAACAAAAACTCAATCAATTACCTTGATTTCCTCTATTCTTTCGTCAGTTCCGAATTCTCCCATCCGCCCTTTGCCTACATCTGCCGCATCTACAGGACAAGAAACTGTGTCAGACGAAGTAACCGAACAAAATTCTTCCGAAACTAAAATTGGAAAATTAGAGTGTTCTAGAGAAAATACTTACGCTGTTGATTCGATGATGCTTCAGCGAATCTCTCAACATTCTGGAGGTCTTCCTCCTTATGATTCTCTGATTTGATTTTTTCCAACTCATTCTTGTGGTGTAGTTTAGTTGGAGCAACAATTTTCTCGAATTTTTTCGGCTCGAAGGGAGATTTTATAGTTACAACAGCTTTCTTTTTTGATTCGACTATCTCAATAGGCAGAACAAACCACCGAAGATGTCTGAAAGCTGCTTCCACAGCAACACGACCATCAGGTACAATGGTCTGAAACAAATAAAATTTTGGCACATTCGTTACCAGAATAACTACCGTTGATCGTGCTTCTAAGGATTCCATTCTGAACTTCTCAGCTAAGGCTAGAGTTTCATCTCTTTTCGCCGCTGGTACCTTTTTAGTCTTAAACCGTGTGACGTAGTACAACATAAAGAAGAATTAAAAACCTTTTTACCATCTATTGTCAGTCCGGCGCCAGTGAAAGATACATATCCTAACCATCGTCTACCTTTAAATGTTCTTTGCTTATGATGATGCCATTCACCACTTTCACAGTTTGGTTGATACTAATGAGAAGGGATCAGTAACTTCAGAATAAACTCGAAAAATACCAAATGTAAGAAATCGGAAGCGTGTTTTGATACAAACTTAATGCATTGCAAAAGATAGTTTATCTGGAAACAAATAGAAATTAATACTTTCCCATCTGTAGACCAGTATAAGCAACCGCTTGCGCAGTGTGTGTTGCGTGAAATGAATGCCAGAGCAATTGCATGTGGAAACAACCGACTCACGGCGATTTGAAAACAAAAATGAAAAAACCTTTCCGTCGTCCCAAAAATAAGGAATGGAAACCCTAGTGAAACCTGGTCTCAAAATTTCATGTTGAGAATATTCTCCAACTCTACGTAAATGAGTCCGGTCAAGACCATCTTGTTCTCGTAGAGCCGATAAATATTCATTCGACATCTGGAAATAGCATTGAGCATTGGAAATATGAGCGTTACCAACATCTTCGTTGATTCCCAACAAATTTTGAGCATAAGGTCCAGCACACATGCAGCCAGCTCGACTCTGGACTCCAAACAAGTCATTCAGAAGAGCTGATATGTAATTATGATGGAAGAACAAGGAAGTATTTGAATCCTGTAATGATTTTCGACATTCCAAATCCGGAAGAAAATTGATACCCTGATTATAAAGGAAAACACGGGGATTCTGTCTTCTACTTTCTTTGGTCCCAGTAAATACAAGTTCTCTACTTGGTCTAAGAACTCCAGAGCGCGACTGTAACAAATCAAAATCTTTCCAGTTGAAGTACTATTTTTACTTTGAAATCTCCAATTCCCTCTCTTTCATTTGTTGCTCAGCTATAGATCTTTTCAGCTTTATAGCCAATGCTAATCTTATGATTCCGACTGCATCTGGAGTACCGCCTTCCTCTCTGTATTCAGAATCTTTCAAATACCATTCATTTCCATTATTAACCTGACAAACAAACTAATAAAATTATAACTAACTATTGAAACGCACAAAGAAGACTGTCCCTCCTCCAGTTCTCTTCGGTGAAGAAGCTTTGATTATCTGTTTCTTGACAATCAAAACTCCTGGAGTTGAAACTCCTCCAACTAATTTATGACCAGAAAAGAATAGAGCATCGATAGCCACCGGAGTATTTACGTTTATAGGAACATAAGGAGCTGCTGAGGCATAATCCCATACACACAAGGCGTTGAACCTGATCACGGAGTGAGTCAAACTGTTACTCTCATACACACCTTTTAGCAGCTTGAGTGAAGGCAGTGACATCCATCAAACATCCTGTTATGTTGGAGCACGCTGTTAAGGCTGTTAATAATTGACTATCAGGGTTTTCTTCTTTGGCTTTCTGTAGAGTTTCCACGAACTTCTCTGGAACATATAGATTAATACGCTAACGTTTATATGAGTTAACCATAGTCGATGGTTCCTGAGGCATCCTCCCCCACACAATAAACTCTTTTGGCAACTCGTCTCCAAGGAAGTAGATTAGAATGATGTTCATGAATAGAATGAATTACTACCTGAACATATATAGTGCAATAAATCAAATAAAAAACAACTCGTACCAAGTTTGTTGTGTCAATCAAATGAACCAACAGATCTACTGCTGCTGTTGTTCCGGAGCCAACAAAGATCACTTCATCTCCATCTCCAGCACCAGTTACCTCTCGAATTTCTTGTCTGAATAACATTCATTAACTCATGATACCTTCAAATGGTATACCTGGCTTCATGAACATACAGAGTTGTTTGCTCGGCTGTTACAGTAACTGAACTGTGTGTATTTCCATAGAAGGGTAACACTTCTTCTTTAATGTAATCCTCTATGGGTCCGATAGCTCGAGCGGATGCAGAGTAGTCACAATAAACAACTGAAAATGAAGTTAGTCTTAAGATTAGAGATAGAGAGTGACAACGACGCACTTTCTCTCTCTCCAAAAGGTGTTTCAGTGGTAGCATCAGCTCCGACTTCATGAGATGAAATCCACGGACATATTTCGTGTGAGCTACTGATGTGTTCGGTATTCTTCTGAAGCTCTGGTACTCTTTCTCCAAATTGTCGATTCATTCATGAAACTTCAAGAAAAATAAGAGTTGGGAGGACGGATGAAGAACCAGAAGCCAAGTCAATTAGGCTCGCACATCGATCTGATGCATGAGAAGCTCAGCAACTCAATTTGGGAGGATGCGCTATGAATGCTAAAGCTGTTTTACTAATAAACTTGAATATAATCATACTGATTTCAATATGCTCGGACCATTGGGTCTTAGTAAAGGTTAGGCAGGTAAGTTTTCAAACGATTATAAATAACATGATCGAGTTTCAGATAGAACCTCCATCGCATTGCTCCATAGTTTCTCATGTGGAAATGTCTTGGTTACATTGTCCCAACCAAACTTACGCTTTAGTAGAACAACATGCAAGCCTCTTTCGACAGTGCTCTGATCTTACAGGTATGTTGTATGAGGGTTTGAACCTGCCAATCTTGCTAACACGATATATAAATATTTTTATTCAAATATGTACATATAGAAAGAACAGTAGACAACACATCTCTTCAGAAGGATATCGACGGAATGTTTCCAAAGATGGACGTTTGTACGGAGACTCGTGTAGTTGGTTTATATTTGATCCAAACGAAACCTGGAGATTGGTTGATACAAATTGGGGAATAGGTAATAGTATAAGTTGAAGTAAAAAATGAAAAGCAACAGATATTTTCAACGCTCTCTTCGCCACAACAAGCATATTGCTGAATCTCGCTGCTCTGCAACAACATACGCTTAAGAATATTTCGAGATTTCTAATGGGGGCGTTGATTAGTCTTCTGATTTCAATCATTGTAACATTCTATACCATACATCTTACAAACACAAGAAAACCATTGAACGAGGTATCATGGAAACTAACAGCAAAACAAATAGTTTTTTTTTCATTTTCAGGGACAGTATATGTATTATGCAGAAGCAGGTTGGAGCATTATATGTGCTTGTGTGGCTCTTGCTCTACGTAAGATATCATATATTGAAGTTCTCAATTCAAAACTTTTTAGTTGGAATAGCAGTGTACGTTCATGTCACACAGCATCGAGTGATGATGGAGAGACGAAGGAGTCAGAGAAGAAGAAGGCAAATTCACAACGCTATCATGTCTTCATGTAAACAAGAAATAGCTTTAGCAATACGAGCAAGAATGACTGTTTTATAAAAATAATAAAACGACGAACCTTTCCTCTCAATAATCTTTCTTGTGTTTACGATCTTCATCCTTCTGAAACAACGAGAGAATTATGAAAATCGTTTTCGTGATGAACTTACTTTATCCTTCTTCTTTTTGTCTTTCTTCTTCTTCTTTTCCTTCTTCTCACTCTTGTGCTTACGTCGCTCATAATCGTCCCCTGACAATGTTAATCTAGCATCGAGCTTATCAGAAGTCATAGGTTCCACAGGCTTGTAACGGAACGCAAAGTCTCGCTTCTCAACTTCAGAATCTTGATCTTTCTTACGATCGAATAAATGCCGATATCTGAAAAGACTTTGAACACAAAGCTTGGGGTATAAATTCACCTATCGTCCACAGCTCCTGTTGCTAAGCGGAAACCAATCATGGCGTTCGATGTTAGCACATGAACTTCTTTGCTGATGGGAGGTTTTTCAACTAAGTGTTTGAGGGAACTAGAAAATAATGACATTGATGAGCGAAAAGTATTGTCATACCTGATCTCTTGAGCTTGAGCCATGTTGAAGTTTCCATAAATATGAGGAAGGAACGAAGAAAGATCACCTTTGGTTTTACGTGAAAGACAGTATTTGGAGTATGAGGGACCGAGATCATAAGCTTCTAACAAATCTACATTTCCTAACATAGGAGTTTTCACTAAAATCGATAATAGCAAACATTGAACTCTAAGAAAACTTACAGGGCAACTCTGGTTTCATGGTATAAAAGGGAGATACCACGGTGTAACTCGACCCAGCTTTGAGTGAAATTTTGGTCTTCAACGACCCAGTTGATACTGATGAAGATGGAGCCGGAATATGGCCCCAGTTGTTATCAACCATTTCTGAAGAAAAAAAACATGAACAAATTCAATATGAACAAAATTTGTTAATACACGAAAATGAAAGCTTTGAATTAGCTGCAAAGCTTGCTTCGCCGTCGCATCAAAAATGCGGTACGAGGTCGTTTCCGTTTCGACGGCTAAAAAGAATGTGTGAAAAAGCGTTTTTGGAACACTCTCTTTCTAACTCCAAAACTAGGCTACTGAAGTAACTTCCACGATGAAGTAAGTTGAATCATGTAAAACTGTTTTCATTCAAATGCTTTAGCACACCAACAGCTTCGGATCCTCGCGAAGACTCAATAATGTTCCAAACGCCTAAGCGCATGACCAGCCTGTTGAAGAATATAATTGGTGTGAAAGCATAATGCGGATGTGTAAGATTGAGTTTTGTAGATAACGTTGAACAAAACACCTCAAGGGATTCGCGAATAGATGACGAATGTGAAAAGATACAAGATGGTAAGTAGAAAAGACATCAAAGATAAAAGCTTTATTGAAACACAGAATTACATGAAAAACGCATGGAGGAATTGAAGCGAGTGTTGGAAGAGGAGAAAAGATACGACTGGATAGAAGCACCTAGTACCTTCAGCCGAAGGTAGATATAACTGTACATTCCGTGTAAATAATTTAAAATAAAGTCGGTGTCGCATATTGTTTGACAAATTTTTTGCTAAGTTTGATTGCGGTTTTGAAAAATACGATGAAGGCAATGCTTTCTAGGATGTTTTGAACGAGCCAGGTGATGGTTGTCAGGTAAAAATACGTTTTCCCACTCACAACCATCATTATCGAACATATATAGAAGGAAAAGTTTGCCAAATGTAGCAAATGCAAGATGGAACACTGAAATTGAATGAATTGAAACAGCTCGCATGGGCTTACCGTGGCTAAGCCAAGTAAGAGCTGTTTATGACTAAGAGATCCTGCATTGCGCCATTTTCCTTTCGCAACCTGAATTATAAGTATATATTATAATACAAGTTACTAGTCACCTTGCTCTGAAGAGTCAGAAATGTGAAGAGATCGATCCCGATCGGCAAGAAAACTGCTACTACACCGAACACAGTAATATTGAGATTCGCATGTACGGTACAAACGGAACTATCCGGGGAATGATAAGTTGAAAATGATATCGTTTCCATTTGAACATAGGGTCTTGAACACCAAAAGGGATAAACAAAAGAAAATAATAGAGAGAATGATAGTATGGCAATGAAAACAATTGAAGAGTGCCTATCCAAGATTTGAGCGCTTCTGCTATGAATAACGAACAGGAAACGGTTGAAAGTCAACAGGAAGACCGAAGCAATAATACAATCGTAGGAGAATGAGACGATTGTGGAGACAGCCACATCTATGAGAAAGTATTTTTCTCCCAACCTGTATAATAAGCATATAAGGAAGAAGTAAGCTTCTACAAGTACATGAGGACTTTGAGAGGAATCCAAGCAGCATGAGCTATGTTAATGTAACAGGTGAAGGATTGATGTATAGCTATAAGACGTGTAAACAAGCTTGCTTTTGATTTAGCCAATAAGTACATGGTGTACAAGTTCAGAACGGCACCGAAAACTCCAAACTTAACAGATGACTATATATAGAGAGTGAGTGACAAAATCAAATTACCACAATGACAAGTGTACAGCCGGTCAGAGGTTTTTCGTTTAGATAATATTGAGCATGAACTTCTTCTAGCTCTTCATACAGCTCCATCCACACACAGACAATGATATGAAGCTATGTGAATTTGAAAATGTGTGAACATCTTCATGAATAGATGATAAATGAATGTTATAATGGATGAAAATAACAGAAATCTATTATAGTAGCGTTGTTTGTGTTGAAAGTAAGAAAAGATTTTTTGACGATCAAATATCTGCTAACAAAGTGTTTGTCCCCTTGAAAATTCCTTCATAAACTCTTTCTCTTCCTCTCTATAACTATTAATATGCAAATTAGGCATCTCCAAGAAGTAAGGTTGGATGGCAGTGATGATGATGATGATGATGATGATTTTAAAAAAAGGCCTAAATTATTCCTCAAATGCATTACCTTGTTCACCTTGTTCGTAAACTTTGAATAACGTGGATCATTAATGTGTCAATGGCAATGTTGATGTGAGCCGACGTCACACAAAGCGGTAAGTTGTAGAACATAAACGTTTTCGTTCAACAGATGGATGATGAGGATGACTGTTTGGTGGTTATGTAATGTTCGGATGAACGATAAAGACTTAAAAACGCAAAGCAGGCAGCAGAAGGATCTGTTACAGTTAGAAGGTGAATGGATTAACAATATATATGTTTAAGTTGTTATACTTTATACATAATATATATATATATATAGTATATAAATATATCATTTCTAGCTCCCTTCTTCCTTCTTCCTCTCCCCCCCCCCTCCTCCTGTCTCCTCTCCTTCTTCATCTTCATCGTCGAGATACACATTATGTAAGCATTGCAGTGCGGATACTTATTAAACACATTCGTTTTATTCTTTTTAGCGACGTCATCATCAAAAAGCACCAAATATCACCCAAAGTTATGTTGTTCATTAATATAATAATCGACCTCATTAGACCACCACAAAGCTGTTCATAATATTTGAAAAATGCTGTATACAACCGCCCATATATGGCCATTAGCTAGTCCCAATGATGAAGATGTAGTTCGTAAAAATCAGCTGTAAAACAATAACGTTTGGCAACCTTTTATGGTTATTAGCATATTGCCATATAGTTCATCAGTTATGCCCTCCATTCCATCATACTCAGCTTGTGTTTTGATTTATAATGTTAAGGTTTATTAACATTTATCTATTTTCCTCATCAGTCTTGTCTTCGCTCTACAGCTTTCTGTTTTAATTGTTCAATGTTAATCGCATTACATTTCATCAAATGTGCTATAATCCTATTATTATATTTTACTTAATTATTCACTTACATTCTATTCTTGATAATATCTTCCTCTTTGCTAAGATGATGATGCTGCTGGGGCGATCATTTGAAATCTCCTCTTGCTACTCTTTCCCTCCCTCTTTTGCAGTCTCTTCGTTAGCAACAACTACTACTACTCATTTCATGAGCTAATTAGCATACGTGAAAAGTTCAGAGATGTAGTAAATGCATTTCATTTTCAATTTGTTGCATACATGTTGAACGGTTGCATTCATCGTCATTCTCATCTGTTGTGCCTCGTTTACATTATCATCATCCTATCAGATGTAGTCATCGTTCGTCATTCAATGTCTTCTATTCCATAAAATTGTCATAAAATTATGATAATTTGAGAAAATCCTCTAATATACATGAGGATTCTCAATAGAGAATGCATGTCATATCATATCTTCAAGCCAAATACTTGATAAGACTTTATTGGATGTTAATAATTGTCATAAATCTCATATAAATAAGAGATATAACTATATATGTTTTAGTTTTTATCGCTTTTACCTAGTTCATGTATAATCTGGCGATATCTCAATCTCTATTGAGGCTGTCATAGCCTTAGACTCTAACACCATTACATCTATAGGCTCCATCTCCGAATTCATCTTCAGAGATGAAGCTATGCCGCTTAAGGTGTTAACTTGTATCTTACGGCTTCTCTGAATCGTGTTCGTGTCGGCTTCTTTAAAAAGATTTCTTCTTTAACTATCCTGTAGGCTTGGATGCCACGTGTGGAGGCGGAGCTTTTGCTCACAAAAAAAAAAGTTCCGAGCCTAATTGTGATAGTTCCTCACATTAGATATACCTTTAGTCCTAGTACGTGAAAGGTAGATCGAAGATATGCTAAGTGAGAGTGAAAGAGAGAGAGAAAGAGAGATAGAGAGAGAATGAGATAAAGAGATAGCAGCTCAGAGAGAGAAGTAGAAGATAAAGGGAGGGAGCTAATTGTTGGACCATGGGCGGGGTTAAGGGAATATACATCTTCATCGCCTTCCCTATTCTTTTGTCTTTTTTCCTCACCTGTTTGTGTATGTGCTCATCAGACAATTGTTGAGATGATAATAACAATCATGTTTTATTCTATTAATATACTCTTCTATTCAAATCTTCCACTAATAGTATCATTTCAGTTATATTAACATGGAATTGAAAGTCAAACTGAATAATAATGAGCTGTGGGAAGAATTCCATAAACGAACAACAGAAATGATAGTGACCAAGACTGGAAGGTAACTCAACTAATCTTTAATTTTATTTAATCGCTTTCTTTTTAAGGAAAATGTTCCCGAAGCTCGAATATTCTATCTTAGGCATGGACCCTGATCTTTCATATGGCTTGGTGCTGCAGATAGAACAAGTCGATGACAATAGGTATTCAGTGATAGATTGAGTTAATCAGCAAGCTTCTGTATCTTAGGTACAAATTCAGTAATGGCGAATGGAAAAGCTGTGGACGTGGAGAAGTTCAAGCTGGAAGCCTTTGCTCCATCGCTCATCACGACGGTGTGATGAAAGGAGAGCAGTGGATGAAGCAACTGATTCATTTCGAGCGAGTAAAGATCACCAACAATCCTCTGGATACCAACCCTAGCCATGTAAGTTAGCTTTCCTATCATACCGAAACAATTTAAATGATGAGCTGGCTGTTAACTATCATTTCCACATAATGTCAGAAGACCTTTAACCGTAATTGTTGAACATATCGACGTCGGCGATGAAGTTCTGAAGATAAGAAAATCAATCAGTCAACCATACAAAATGACTGTCCAAGTTGCATATCCTGTGTGTATGTGTGTTATGCCATAGCCGTCATGCCCATTAACGGTTCTTTTGTATTTCTAATACAGATGTCTCCTATAGTTTACTTTCTATCTGATTGACTCTTCTTTCCTCGTGCGGTCATCTAGATAACAACGTTTTACTATCTCCCGACCCTTGGCGCTTAGATGAACTTTAGCCTGTGAACTTGCCATAATGGGATTATGTTGTAATCTCTCTAAAACAAACTAATTATAAAATATATTCTTATATACTTCCTATTTTCAGGTATATCTTCAATCTATGCACAAATATATTCCTGTTCTATCCGTTTATCAATTATCGCCATTATCCTCAGATACTCCTTTCCTCTCCACTACCTCAACGGCTCATAAATTGGTTTGTGGCTTTCTTTCTCTTCTAATTTACATATATTCCCATCATTGAAGGTTTCGCGATTCCGTCTCGAATCAACAGAGTTCATTGCCGTGACAGCATATCAAAATGAAAAAATCAAAGATCTCAAAATTGAACACAATCCCTTCGCCAAAGGTTTTCGTGACGGAGGAGATAGAAAGAGGTTAGACAGTCAGCCTAACATATTCACATAATCAATATCTATATAGGATATCATCAGCAGCTGATGATTTGATAGTGCCTGCCATCAAGCGATCACCACCCTCTCCCTTAACATCAGTCGGAGCAGCCGCATTAGGAACATCAGCAGTAACATTCAGTTCTCCCATTATGCCAGTTATGAATCCATTATGGTATTCCTATTGGAATCCCTATATATTCAATCCCATGCTCTCTCCTTATCGCTTTGATTTAACTAAGCAATGAAGAGCCGATGAGAGAAAATTATCAAAAATATTTCTAAATTTGGAATCATTCCATATCATTATGTACTAATTATAATTCAATAAGTCCTATA